CCAGCTCGGGGGCGCGCTCGGGGGCTGCGCGGCTGGTGGCTGGGCTGACGCGGCGTGAGCGGAGCACGGGAAAGCGCCCGTCACCGGGAGAGCGACCACCCGTCTTCCCGGGCCCGTTCCCGGGGAGCCCGCGGCAGAGAGCGGTGGCTGCTGCCGTTGGCTGAAGCTGCGCACCCCCCCCCCGCCCGTTCCCNGCCCGTTCCCTGGAGCATCGTCTCGGGGCCGAGGCAGGTGGGCGGGTCAGGGGCTCCGCCGCCGCCCTTTGGGAGACACTGGATTCAGCCCTGGAAACTTTGGGGGCTTGGGCACATCTGTGATCAGGGTGCCCAGCTATCCTGGAGGAAGGTGTGGTGCCATTTACATTTCATCCTTCTTCAAAGGCTCTTCCAGCCTCTTTCAGTGGAGGTAAGAATTTCCCCGCCCCCCCTAATTGCTTTCACATGTCAGCTCCATAAATTAAAATTTCCAAGTGGCTTTCTTTCTCCTTACTCGTCTAGAATCTTTGTTGTTAAAAATCTCAGGTTCTGTATTTAAGGCGATAAATATCTATATAGACACACACAAAAAAGAGAGAGAGAATGCCTAATTAGGTAGGAGCCAGAAAAGTCAGTTCCCCTACAGTGGGTACCACTTGGCTGTGCTCTTAGTTTTACCTGGCCGGACGCAAGGGCAACGGCTAAATAAACCTCTTTACTGATATCTTCACGGACAGGCTCTCCCCTGCCCTGTACAGTATTTTCCCCCTTAAAATGGTATTTTATTTTCAGTGGTATCACAAGCATGTACAAACACACGCACACACCTGGGACATGGTGGGCGGGATCCCCGCACACACTGTTGCTAGGCCTGGGAAGCAGGAAGGCCAATGTTGACTGTCCTGTGTCCTACTGGGAATCTAGCCTTGGGGGAAGGCAGGCGATATTCAGAATTTGAGCTTTAAAGAAATGGTCAGCCCTTACAGTTTGGAAAGCACATTGCACTGCCTCACCTCATGGAGGAAATAAGTATTAGCTGAGGACATGGGCAGAGCTCTGGAAGCAGAGCAGGTGAGACTCTGATCGCCCTGCTGCTTTACTTTGTTTCCTAAGTACCCAGGGTCAGGTGAAGTCACATAAGGGTGGACCAGATCCCTCATTCCTGTGTGACACATCACTTTAAATTGGTGATTAAAAACACTGGATTCAAATCTAAGCTCCCCCACAGCCTGTATTATACCAGTGAAATCCGTCACTGGGCTTCCATTGTACCGCAGATTCTGGGAACTACTTTTTACTGGTATCTGTATTTAGAAGCACCATATGATTTTTATTGATTTTAGAGAGGGAGGAATGGGGAGGGAGAGAGAAAAACATCGATGTGAAAAACATGCCCCCTACTGGGCATGGAGTCCACAATCCCAGCATGTGGCATGTGCCCTGGCCCGGAATCAAGCTGGCGACCTTTTGGTCCATGGGGTGATGCCCAACCAACTGAGCCATACCAGACAGGCCACGTCATCAGATTTTTATAGATGAAAGGAAAACAACCTGTCTCATGGGCTCAAAGGTGAGACTGGAAATGAAATCTCCACAGCAATACAAAATTATGCTAACACCCCTCTCCATGAGCTAGGGGCAACTCTCCTCACCTGATGCCACTGTTCTCCTGCGAAACGGCCCACGCCTTCCCCACGAAGCATACTGGTCAGTGTCTGTGAGCTAGTTACACATATCAGGCATATGAATGGATAAACTCCAAGCCAATTACTGAAGACAGCCTCTCAAGCAACGCTGCCCATAGCTCCTGTATTAGGACTGCTCTCAGGAATGGTGCCTGACACTAGACTCCAAAGCGTTTCATGTTTTTAAAATAGAAACAGACATACTGATCAAGAAATAAAGCTTAAAAAATGCTGAAATCATTTATGAGGAGGTAATAGGAAAAAAGTGCACCACCTGCTCTTAGAGACAAGGGCATGTGCAGCCAGCCTGGAACCTACCGTTTGCAAACTTTCCCTTTTGTTTAAAGTCATGATTATTTTTTAAACATTTTTATATAATTCACATACCATAAAATAGGCACCTTTTTGCCCCCCTCCCCAGCCTTCTCTGGTGCTGGGGGAAGGGGGAGAGGAAAAGATCAGAGAGAATGGAATAAGTCCCCGACAGAGTGGGAGACCACAGCACTGGCCTACACAGAGACACAAGAGAGAGAAGTGATGGGAGAAGGGTCATGAGTCACAAACCAGAGTGGTGACGGGACAGCAGAGGTACCCGCTGCAGGCACTTTGTGCTTTCAGGTTTTTTCCTAATCTCTAAATATTTCAACCTACAAACCCAAATTTCAGTTTGAGTAAATATGATAACCTAAATATATTTAAAATCTCATCAAATTAGACAATGCTGAGGATCAAAGTGGTCTGATTCATACTATACACATATTTAGAAGTTTATTTTTCCACTACAACTGAGAGGTCTAAATAAGGAGACACCTATATGAATGAATATATTTTTCAGACAAAAAGCTGAAGAAGGCAGGAATGGGGTAGAGGGGGCCAACGGGGGAGGGAAGGGGACATCTGTAATATTTTCAACAATAAAGATAAATTTTTAAAAAAATACATCTTTATTGATTTCAGAGAGAGGAAGGGAGAGGGAGAGAGAGAGAGAAACATCAATGATGAGAGAGTCATTGACCAGCTGCCTCCTGCACGCCCCCCACTGGGGATAGAGCCCACAACCCGGGCATGTGCCCTGACCGGGCATCAAACCGCAATCTCCTAGATCCTAGGTGGATGCTCAACCATTGAGCCACGCCTGGCCGGGCTCTTTCTATTATTTTAAATAAATAAAGTTTTAATGTAAAAATAATAACTTTGAAACATAAGGGTCTTTGCTAAATAATAATAATAATAATAATAATAATAATAAACTCTTGCACAATAAATTCCCTGGTTCCTCTATACTCTTCTTTTGGATATTGCCACCTTAGAATAACAATGTCAGTATCTGTTGAGTATTGACAATCAGTTCTAGGGACTGTTAATGGTCAATATAAACAACTCCCAACCAAGAAAGGATACATTAGAAATATGGATTGTTGCTTCAGAGAGAAGATATTAGGAAAAACAGATAGTGTGCTTCCTTTTAAAATGTGTGTTTGAGTTTAATGTGAACATTACATAACTTCTAACATAATATCCACTTTAATAAATATTTTAACTTTTTTGAACAACTCACAGCAAAATGTAAAAAACACGTGAACAACGATCCTAGTAAATAAAATTTTAAAATGAAAATTTAAAGTGAGGAAATGCATTTAAGACCATGCCAGACCTGAGAAATAAATTATTTCATGAAGTGGTGATTGTATCATGAAGGGGGAAAACACTATAATTTCTTTCATCTCAGAGTTATGATAAGTCTTCACTTAATATCATTTATAGGTTCTGTGACTTTAAGCAAACCAATTTGACCATAAGTTAATTGGTATAAACAAGAGTTAAGTTCCTATAGCATCTCATCAATGTTATAACAAAATGACACTATTTGAGGACCTGCTGCATTGAGTCTTTCAACCACCTTTTATTCTCCAGCGGGGTCCTTTCCCATAAACAGCCCAGCAAGCCCCTGGTCCTCTAAACTAGCACCTTCCTTACCCTCTCCCCTTATTTAAGGCATTTCTGCTGCTGGCAACTGACTCACATTGGTAAGAGCACCTCTGTGTTTTCTGTTGTCCTTTGTAGCCCAGGACTGAGGTCCCACGTAAAGGCCCTCAGGCAACCTGGCTGTCACCCAGAAAGCCACTTAGAGTCTTACAGAGTCGGAACCCAGGGGAAGCCGAGGGCAGGACTAAGGTCACTCACTGTCTGTGCCACTGCAAACGCATGCTGTGCGGCACTCAGCTGCAGTGCGTGTGGTTAGTGGGTCAGGTTTAGCGTCCTGCGCCCAAACTTTATAGGACTAACAGAAGCAAAAAGAAGACGAGAGCTTGAAGGGATAGCTCAGAGGGTGAAGGCGGTCAGCAAGTCCTGGTGCTCGTGGAAATGTAGGAGACAAAGGGCATTTTCAGGGCTGTGGGGATCAATGATTAAGTCGCAGGCACTCGGTCAGCAGCCTCAGTCATTAAGAAGACAAGGATTGACAGCATTCTCTTTGGAAAGTCCTGGCTGAAGGATTAGAAATGCATCTTGGAAACTGGAAGCCATCTAAGTGTTCATATAGAAAATGATTAACTTGATTGCGAAACAGCATTTAAAAGGAAAGAGGTAGACGCTCATGTGGCGGCCTGAAGAGATGTCCATATTGTTAAGTGAAAAAGCTATGTACACATTATATACAATGTTTATTATGTGTTATAAAAGCCCAGAGAAACATCTGGAAGGAAATACTAAACAATTCCTGGGGAGCAAGACTGTGGGGAGAGGATATCTGGTGAATAAATATCAGTTTACCTTTTGCTTTTAAACACTTCTATAGCATGTGGGCATTTTTAAAAACAGTAAGCATAGTTTACCCTTTGAATTAAATGTATACCGTAAAGATTTTAATAATTACAAGAGCACCCTGGGTTCTGAAATATGTCAGCCAAATGAGTTACTTCTGAGTAAGCGAACGCTCCACTTTCTGCCCGCGCCCCCCCCCCCC